GTGAAAAGGGGAAAAAAATGTGCAAGGTTAAATGTGTGCTGTAGAAGAACCACCACCTGTTCAGCTGCTGAGCACACCATTCCTAACTCAGCAAAAGAACCCACCCGCTGGGAAAACCTAAAAGCGAACTGCTGTTGCCAAAATGCATTTTGACGGCTGGAAATCTGTGTTTCCCAAGCCCTCCTTCCAGTCCTTGGCACTGTGACGAGCGTTTCTCACCCCTGGGGACATGGGACTGGAGATGCAAAAGGGAAAGTCACCAAGGCTGAGTTTCAACTGCCTGCATCCTTGCAGCCAGGGCCATGATGTATGGAGATGAGCCCAGCATGGATGGTGGGAGCTAGGGAGCAGGGCCAGAGGGCCATGAGGGGTTCCCTAGCTCCCACCGTCCACGCTGGACTCACAGGGCACGGCTCTGCTGCAGTGGCCGGGCTCACCTCCACGAAGTGATTGCTCAGGGCGGGCCCCGAGTCATTCTTGAAGGTCTGGCTGACACGGAGAAGCCTCTTGTTGCCGCTGTCATCCCAGTGCTTCCCGTAGCTCGCCTCCAGCTGCGAGTGCAGGTGGTCTGAGTCCTCCTCGTGCCAGAGCTGGACCTGAGACACACACGAGCGGTGAACTGTCCCCGTGCCCCCTCACAGCCACCCACTCCAGGAACATCAGTTTGGTTTTCTGAGGAGACGGTTCTGTAGAAAGCACTATTTTATAGTTGTTGCCTGTTCATTTGTTTGTTTTGAGACGGAGTCTCGCTCTGTCACCCAGGCTGAAGGGCAGTGAGATGATCTCGGCTCAATGCAACCTCCGCCTCCCCAGTTCAAGTGATTCTCCTGCCTCAGCCTCCTGAGTAGCTGGGATTACAGGCAACCGCCACCACACCTGGCTAATTTTTGTATTTTTAGTAGGATGGAGTTTCACCATGTTGGCCAGGCTGGTCTGGAACTCCTGACCTCGTGATCTGCCTGCCTCAGCCTCTCAAAGTGCTGGGATTACAGGCATAATCAACTGTGCCTGGCCTTGGTTTGTTTTGTGTTTTTAAATTTATTATTTGTTTATTTTAGAGACAAGATGTCACTCTGTTGCCCAGGCTGGAGTACAGTGACACCATCTTGGCTCACTGCAACCTCTGCCCCCTGGCCTCAAGCAAGCCTGGGTGAATAGACTTAAGACAGGCTGAAGCGCCAGCCCTGGATCCATTCCCATATGGCTATGCTCTTGGGAGAAAGTTCTTCTCTTTGGGGATGAGCGCAGGGTACTCAGATCACCACTTCCCTAACTCTGGTGCTCCCTTTAGACGTAACCCCGGCCTAAGCACCCACCTTGTGGCTGAAGGCTGGGATCTGTGTGCAGTGGAGCTCATGGCGCAGCTCCAGCCTGTAGGCGCCGTCTGAGCCGCTCTCTGTCTGCAGCTTCTGGCTGGTGCTGCACTGGTGTGCTGGCTGCTTTGCCTGAGCTGTGAGGATTGATCAAGGGACCCCTGCCCTCCTCTGCCAGGCAGCCCTCCACCAGGGCTCCAAGAAGAGGAGGGTCCAGCCCAGCCTGGCCTCAGCCGTGTCCCCCCGGCCCTGTGCTCTGCTTCACCTGTCACTCCATTAGAACCTGTCCATGGGGAGGTCTTAAGAGATGGATGAATGTCCCCTCAACAGACACACCTTTTGTTTAATGAGCAGGTACTAAGTCCTACTCAGAGCCCACAGAATGACTAATGGAAAATCCTGTGGTGACAGCATATCTTAGCTGACAGAGCCACAGCCGCAGGAAACACGGCAGGCCCTCCCACCTCCACCTGCCCGGCAGCCAAGCACACGGTGCCTTACCCAGGAGGCTGTACTGGATCCTCAGGGAGTTGGTCCAGAGCCCGCCCCGCTGCTGCAGCAGGCCAAGGGCACGCAGTCCCGCCAGCCCTGGCACAAAGACCTCGGCACCCAGGGCGGCCACCCACCGTCCATCTTCCTCCTTCCTTTCCAGCATTGCTGCAGGGACAGAGAGCAGGCAGGTGAAAGGGTCAGCCCCCAGGGACCAACATCCCCAACCCCCGGCAAAGAGGGGACTCGGGATACCCCAGGGGCCTTAGGGTTGGGGGCTCCTTGAAGACCCAACACCTGTGCCCTGCACAGCAGGCCACAGACAGGCCTAATCACGGCTCACTGCAGCCTTGACCTCCCAGTCTCAAGCCATTCTCCCACCTCAGCCTCCCAAGTAGCTGAAACTATCTATAGACATGTGCCACCACACTTGGCTAATCTTTGTATTTTTTTGTAGAAGCGGGGGTCTCCCTACGTTACCCTGGCTAGTCTTGAACTCCTGGTCCCAAACAATCCTCCCACCTTGGCTCCCCGAAGTGCTGGGATTATAGGCATGGGACACCGTGCCTGGCCCAAAACTAAGTAGAATGAAACCAACTGAATAGGACAGAAGATAAAGAATTAACAGAGCATCGTGGGATGTCAGATAAATTTCACCCTCTGAGGCTTCTGCTTCTGCGACACTGAAGGTCATCCAGAACACACAGGTGGAACTGGGCCAGCTGTTATGACTCCCGGACACCCACATGAGGTGTCAACAGCCACTGCTCCAGGTGCCCTCAACCCCAGCTCCTGTCCTTACCTTGGAATCTTCCAGAACCCATAAGCAGCACACCCAGGTGTCACCACCCCGGCTCTGGCACAGGGGCAGCACCTGCTCAGCCTGTGTGTGTTTTAAATGCCCTGTGTATTTTAGGTCAAAATGTTACATGTGTTTCTTACCATGGGTGAGAATAAAAACAGCCCAAAAGCTGCTATTTTAAGGTTTGTTGGGGCAGGTGGAGGTTGGGGGAGGTTCTGGGGGCTCACACTGAGCCCGCGTCTGTCCTTAGATGGGATGTTGATATTGAGAGGCTGGGGTGATGATGACCATCAGGAGGCATTTGGCCCACACCCTAGCCTGGTCACGGAGAAGATGGGGCACAAGGGGTCTCATCTCCTACCTGTCACGTGGGCCTGGTCACTCAGCAGATGGCTCAGCGATGCGGAGAAGGCCAGCTTGCTGCCCGCCTGCCACGTGAGGTTCCCCGTAAAGACGATGGGGCTGCCCCCTGTCACCAGCTTCACCTCCAGCTGTGCCTGGAACCTCTCCGCCTCGCTGCCTATGGGTGGCTGCAGGTCACTCCAGCCCTGAAAAGGCCTCAGTGTCACCTGGGAGGACAGGCTTGGCCAGCAAGCCCAGCCATGATCACACAAGCTGGGACCAGAGAGTGGGCAGGAGACAGCCCAGCCAACAGCTTTCTGTGCTGATCCTTCCCCAGTTTTTTATTTTTCTTGAGACAGAGTCTCACTCTGTCACCCAGGCTGGAGTGCAGTGGCGGGATCCTGGTTCACTGCAACCTTCGTCTCCCGGGTTCAAGTGATTCTCCTGCCTCAGCCTCCCAATTAGCTGGGATGACAGGTACACACCACAGTGCCCAGCTAATTTTTTTATTTTTAGTAGAGATGGGGGTTTCACCATTTTGGCGAGGCTGGTCTCAAATTCCTGAGCCCAAGTGATCCGCCCGCCTTGGCCTCCCAAAGTGTTGGGATTACAGGTGTGAACCACTACGTCCAGCCCTTCCCCAATTTTTTAAACTTCAGATTTCTCAAAATTAGAAACCTGTGTTACAAACTCATACATAAATACAAAGGACTCCTCTTCTCTCCTTGACAACCCCTTCGTTGGAGCCATGAGGAACTCAGTCAACCATCACTATGGAATGTGATTAGAATCAACCCCATCTGCCACCTCCGCTGCGCCCCAGCTCCGGCCCTGGTCATCACACATCTCACTGCGACATCCTCCTGGTCAGTTCACCCAAAAGATGTCAAAACAATACTCGCTATTACCAGACCGTCACTACTTAATGCTGTGTTTCCCTGATCCCCACCGACGTGTGTGCAGATGTGTACGAATGTGTGTGCATCTGTGTACAGATGTATCTGTACATGGATGTGTGTAGGTGTGTATATATACAGATATATGGAAATACAGATATATGTGTATGAATACGTGGATATGGATGTGTGTATACAGTGATGTGTGTATACATGGATGTGTCTATATGTAGACGTGTGTATACAGACGTGTGTGGATGTGTGTAAAGGTGTGTATATATATGGATGTGTGTATATGAATGTATGTGTACAGATATGTCTACATGTGGATGTAGACGCTCGCAGCTCTTCCTGCTGACAGGCACATCCTAGCGCTGGCTCGTTCCAGTGTGCATCCGAGGCTGCGTGGTGGAGTCAGAGCTTCCTCAGGGTGCACGTGAACAGGGTGAGCACAGAATTTCTCTCCCAAACCACACTTTGCAGTTAAAAAGAACATTAGTCACAAACGAGTCAGGTCAGCAGGCATAACCTAGGGCTCTCCAGGCAACCCAGGACCCAACCCCCACACACCAGGGCAGGGGGTGCCACACAGAACACTTCCCACACCAACCTTAAATCCCACACGCTTTGAGACAAGTTGAACCCAAGCTCTGGCACTTTGCATTCATGAGCTCATCTGCCTCAGTTTCCTCATCTCGTATGAGGTTACAGACAGGATTTGAAGCAGAGATTTCATGTCTGCTGGAACAGGCTCCAGAAAGTTCCGGAGCTCCGGCTGTTACTGTAATTGATGAGTCTGGGGCAGATGGAACTAGAATTTCTCCAAAGGCAAATAAACATTTCCAGTCTTCAGAGAGCTCTATAGGGAGCAGCAGGAAGGTCCGACACGAGGTACAGACAATCTGTGCTTGCACAGTTAGAAAATAATGAGATGTTCAAGCGCCCCTGGGAGTTCTGGAAATGAGGCAGAAGTCTCAGCTGTCAGGCAGGTGGGGCTTTAGGAGGAAGATGGCTCTCCCCTGACATGGGTCTTCTCCCCACCCAGGCTGACGGCACAGGTGGCAATGGAGAGTGTATTTATGCAGCAAGACATCTAGCCCCAGCTTCAGATGCTCCACTCCAGGCCTCTGAGAAGACACTGGAAACTGAGGCAGAATCGGGTGATCCACTGCTCAATGTGCCCAGTGGTCATGCCTGGCAGGATCAAGTCTGAAGTTGCTATTTGTACCCTGGCTGGAGTGCAGTGGCGCGATCTCAACTCACTGCAACCTCCACCTTCCAGATTCAAGCAATTTTCCTGCCTCAGCCTCCTGAGAAGCTGGGCCTAAAGGCGTGCACCATCACGCCCAGGTAAGTTTTGTATTTTTAGTAGAGACAGGGTTTCACCTTCTTGGCCAGGCTGGTCCCAAATTCCTGACTTCATGTGATCCTCCCACCTCGCCTCCCAACATGTGTATACTTTTTGAAGTCACCAATCTGCTTGAAAAGGGGATGGAAGTTTTAAATCTTCTCCCCAAGATGGAGGAGACAGATACAAAACTTCAACAGAATGACAAGGGCTGCAAGTGACTAAGTTCCATCCAGGTACCCTTGGGTAAGATCCCTTGAAAAGCACCTACTAAGATGAAAATGAGCCTGGACAACATAGTAAGACCCATCTACACACACACACACACACACACACACACACACAAAAGAAAACAAGAAAAGAAAAAAAAATAGGAAGGCATGGTGACCCAGGCCATGGTCCCAGCTACCTGGGAGGCTGAAGCAGGAGGATCGCTTGAGGCCAGGGGTTCGAGGCTGCAGTGAGCTAGGATCATGCCATTGCATAGAAAACCTTGTAAAAGAAAGAGAAAAGCGGGGGAGACAGAAAAGCCGGGGGGAAGAGGGAGGGAAAGACATGGGGGAAAGAAAGGGAGGGAAAGAGGGAGGGAGAGAAAGGAAAGAAAAAAGGAAGGAAAGAGGGAAGAAATAAGAAAAACATGTAAACCCTGTGGCCAGGGAATTCCGCTGTTAAGAATTTACTCTGCAGAGACAATGGTGTTCACCGCAGAATAATTGTAAGAGAGGAAACCTGGGAAAAACCCAAGAGCCCTTCATTATTAGCCTAGCTGAAAACATTCCATTCCATGGACTACTACGTGGTCATCGGCACTACACGGGAGACGCTGATTTTTTAGGTGGATACATTAACTCCACGTGCTGACTGTGTACATCGATCATCTCGGAAAGGAATCACCAAAGAAACCCTAACAGTGGTTGGCTTTCCGGAGGGGTGGGAGGGCAGCTTTAAGGCTGCACCAGCACCAACCAATAGAACTTTTTGCAATGAAGACCGTGTTTCCCGGCCACCTGCAGCTGTGGAGCACCTGAAATGTGGCCCACGCAGCCAAAGAACCAAATCCTTCATTTTCTTTAATGTTAATTCATTTAGATTTTTTTTTCTTATTTGAGATGGAGTCTCACTCCATTGTCCAGGCTGGAGTGAAGCTGCGTGATCTTGGCTGACCGCAACCTCTGTCCCCCAGGGTCAAGCAGTTCTCCTGCCTCAGCTTCCCAAGCAGACGGGGTTACAAGGGCTCACCACCACATCTGGCTACTTTTTGTGTTTTTAGTAGAGATGGGGTTTCACCATGTTGGTCAGGCTGCTCTCAAACTCCTGACCTCAGGTAAGCCACCTGACTCGGCCTCCCAAAGTGCTGGGATTATAGGTGTAAGCCGCCATACGCGGCCTCACTTAGATTTCAATGAACGCATATGCCACTGGCTGCCAATCAGAACACTCAGTTCTATGCTCTGTCATAGCTTTTGAACTTTGAATCATTTAAATGCATTGCCTGTTTTTTTAATTGTAGAACTTAATAGTATTTAGATTGAATTAACCTAAATGAAATCTACAATAGAATCTAAATTGTACCAGTGTGTGCTTGTATAAAAAGATTCCCAAGGGTGTGTGTGTGTGTGTGTGTGTGTGTGTGTGTGTGTGTGTGTTTATGTATGTTTCTTTTTTTTTTTTTCTTTTGAGTTGGAGTCTCACTCCACTGCCACCCACTCTGGAGTGCAGTAGTATGAACTTGGTCACTCAACCTCTGCCTCCAGGGTTCAAGTGGTTCTCCTGCCTCAGTTTCCCAAGTCACTGAGATTACAGGCACACACCACCACACCCAGTTCATTTTTGTACTTTTAGTAGAGAAGGTGTTACACCATGTTGGCCAGGCTGGTCTTGAACTCCACCTCAAGTGATCCACCCGCCTCGTCCTCCCAAAGTGCTGGGATTATAGGCATGAGCCAGTATGCCCAGCCGCAAAGGTGTATTTTTGAGTAAAAAGAGCAAGGTACAAACAAAAAATAGGGAACAGCTGGGGGTGGTGGCTCATGCCTGTAATCCTAGCACTTTGGGAGGCTGAGGTGGGAAGATCGCTGGAGCCCAGGAGGTCGAGGCTGCAGCGAGCCATGTTTGCACCACTGCCCTCCAGCCTCAGTAACGGAGCAAGACCCTGCCTCAAGAAAAATTAAAATTAAGATTAAAAAACCAAAACCTAAGCACGATGATTGGGTTTCATGCTATTGTATGATATGTGCCCCCCTCAAAACTTGTTACAATATCATCACATCATCCATCTGATGCGAAAAAGAAAAAATAAAACCCAGAAACTCAAACTAAAAATATTTGCAAATCTATAGCATTATGCGTTGTCCTGTGTCTCCCTGAAAGACGCTGAAGCCCTATGCCAAAGGGTCTGTGGATGCGACCTTATTTGGAAATAGGCTCTTCACATGTGATCAAGCTACGCTGAGGTGACGAGGGTGAATCCTAATCCTGTGTGCATGGTGTCCTTATAGAAAGGGGTTGTGTGGACAAAGACACCTACAAAGGGAAGACAATGTCAAGACAGAGACAGAAGACCACCTACAAGCCAAGGAACTCTGGAGGATCCGAGAATCCAGGAGCGAGACCTGGGACAGACCCTCCCTCACAGCTTACACAGGAAAAACAATCAAAAACCCCTTGATTTCAGACTCCTGGCCTCCAGAACTGTGAGAATAAACCTCTGTGGTTGAAGCCACATAGTTTAGGTACTTTGTTAAGGCAGCGCTGGGAAATGAATGCACATTTCTTGGGGCCTGCATCAATACTTCTGAAGAAAATTTGGGATGTGGCATGCTTGAACTTACAACTCATACCTTTCTCTACTCTGAATTCTTTGAGAGACAGGGTCTCACTCTGTCACCAGGCTGGAGTGCAGTGGCACAAGCATGGCTCACTACAGCCTCCACCTCCTGGGCTCCGGCAATCCTCTTGCCTCAGCCTCCTGAGTTGCTGAGACTACAGGCACAGGCCACTCTGCCTGGCTAATTTTTTTTTTTAAATGTTTTGTAGAGACGGGGTCTTGCTATGTTGCCCAGGTTTATCTTGAATGCCTAGCCTCAAGGGATCCTCCCACCTTAGCCTCCCAAAGTTCTGGGATTACAGGTGTAAGCCATCATGACCAGCCGGCTTGCTTTTTTTTGTTGTTGAGATGGAATCTCGCTGTATTGCCCAGGTTGGAGTGCGGTGGCACAATCTCAGCTCACTGAAACCTCCCACCTCCTAGGTTCAAGCGATTCTGCCTCAGCCTCCCGAGTAGCTCAGATTATAGGCACCCACCACCACACCCGGCTAATTTTTTAATTTTTATTACAGGCAGGGTTTCACCATTAGGCCAGGCTGGTCTCGACCTACTGACTTCGGAGATCTGCCCACTTTGGCCTCCCAAAATGCTGGGATTACAGGCATGAGACACTGCATCCTGAAGTCTTAAAAGCATGTTTTTGTATTATTAATATTCGTTTTTAACATCAATGACAGTGGGATTTTAGCCCATATTTTTCAACTTTATATATTTCTGGGTAACAAGAATTAACACTTGTTAAGTGGCAGGTAGAAGGGGAAGATCCCAGGGGTGGTGGCAATAGGTAACAGGGCCCTGGGATGGGGCAGGAAATGCCCAGGGAGGTGGCAGGTGCAGACACAGATGGGCCAAGGGCGTGGAACAAACCTTGATGTAGTAGACATCCCTGTCATCCAATACCAGCTCCAAGTGACCCATGTGGACGCTCCCGAGAGCCTCCATCTTTCCTGGGTGGGGAGGAGAAACGAGAGTTTAGAGACAAGTGTTCTGAATCTGGATCTGGCCCCTGCATCCCCTTGGGAGGACCGCCTGCTCGTCTTCTCATCTCTGAGCCTAGGGTTCAGAGCCTGTAAAATGGGGCTGGCTTTAGTGCTGATCTCAGGAGGTCACAGACAGACCCACAAGCCAGCTCGCTGCAGGTGCCCGGCCCTGGGTGTGGCACTGAGCGAGGGGTGTGGTGAGCAGGGAGGGGACGTTGTCATTACCGTCCAGCTCGATTTTCTTCCTGGGATGGAGAAGCTTGACCCGGAACTTGCTCTGAGGCAAGCTGTAGCTGACGTCCACCCCGACGTCCCTCGGCACTTCCGACCCGGGCGTGCCCATGAAGATGTGGGCTGTGGCTTCTTGAGGCAACCAGCTGTCCTTCTAGAAACAGCAGAGTCCTCAAGACTGAGCGTTTGCACCTCCACCCTTCAGACACGCGCAGTTGTCCTCACAATCCCCCACGAGGAATTTATTGGGCTTGAAAATCACCTGCAGACATTTAAATCTCTGTACCACAGCCCAGGACCACGTTCACAGCGTCAAAATGTATTCAGCAAATGGCCAGGGAGAAGCAGCTGCAGTGCCCACCCCTGGCACCCGGCACAGACCCCTCCCATCCTTTTTTTTCCGAGACCGAGTCTCGCTCTGTTGCCCAGGCTGGAGTGCAGAAGCACGATCTCGGCTCACTGCAACCTCCGCCACCCCTCCTGAGTAACCACGATTACAGGCATGCACCACCATGCCAAGCTAATTTCTTTTGTTTCTTTTTTTGTATGTTTAGTAGAGATGGGGTTTCACCATGTTGGCCAGGCTGGTCTCAAACTGCTGACCTCATGTGATTCACCCACCTTGGCCTCCCAAAGTGCTGGGATTACAGGCATGAGCCACCGCGCCCAGTCCCTCCCCCTCCTTTTTCCCAGCTCTATGTCTTTATTCCCCAGCTTCTGCAAGCTCTGCGCCTCCTGGCCGTCACCTGAGGCCTCCAGAACATCGCCCTCCAGCACTGCAGCCAGAGCTCCCAGCATCTCAGCCCAGAGGGGAACACACTGTGCAAGGTCCTTGCGCTCCAGGGCTCCCTGTGGGACCAAGCTGAGGCTACAACTTCACCTGAAATTGTACATCTCTCAGCATCTTCCCCTGGCCTGTCCTAATTTCTCCTCTCTTACTGGGTCCCCCAGAGCCTTAATAAATCACATATGACTCTGTCTAAGACTTGGGTCTATTTTTGGGAAAATGGAGCCTCAGCCACAAGCTGTGTTCTGAAATCCCACATCAGTGTACATTCATTCAACACCAATGAGGACGCGCTGCTGCATGGAAGATGAGTGAGCACGGGACATACAGAGTCCCCAGCCACACGGAGCCTACGTCCTAGAGAGGAGGCACAGGACCACCAGACACTAGAATGGGTAGGATGGCAGCTGGTGGCGAGTGTGCTGGCAAAGGGGATAGGTTAGGGGCCCCGATGGGGACACTGGTCTAGACAGGGTGGCCCAGCAAGACTGCCCCTGAGGGGTCCCATTTAAGGATACTTGAAAGGAGCGAGGGAGGGAGTTAGGTGCATGTCCTGGGAAGAGTGTTCCTGGCAGAGGAAACAGCCAGTGCAAAGGCCATGGGGCGGGCACGTGCCTGGCATTGGAAAAGGGGCCAGTGTGTCTTCAGTGCAGTGAGTCTGGAGGCGAGACCGCGAGGGGAGGCCAGCGGGGAAGAGACCACCAAGGGCCTGTGGGCCACAGCATCTGGCTCCTACTGGAAGAGTAACAGGAGCCATGGGGCAGTCTGCACAGAGGAGAAGCACGATCCAGCTGGGATTTCAGAGGGCCCATCTGGCTGCTGAAGATGGTAAGGAGACCAGAGCAGGAGCTGGGGGATCAGACAGGAGGTCACCAAGTGCCTCCTCTGGACCAGGTACTGACGACACAGTGGTAAATAAAACAAACCCTGAGGCCGGGCGGGGTGGCTCATGCCTGTAATCCCAGCACTTTGGGAGGCCGAGGCGGGTGGATCACGAGGTCAAGAGATCGAGACCATCCTGGTCAACATGGTGAAACCCTGTCTCTATTAAACACACAAAAAAATTAGCCCAGCATGGTGGGTGCCTGCAGTCCCAGCTGCTCAGGAGGCTGAGGCAGGAGAATTGCTTGAAGCCGGGAGGCGGAGGTTGCGGTGAGCCGAGATCGTGCCATTGCACTCCAGTCTGGGTAACAAGAGTGAAACTCCGACTAAAAATAAAAAAAATAAAAAAAATAAAAATCAAAAACCCTGAATCCGCTCCCAGGAACTGAGTCACCAGTGAAGAAAACAGACCTTAACCGATCAGCTTCACTAAGAAACAGAAGCGATCAAAAGGGAAGAAACGTGGCTGTCTTAGGTCAAGTCACGAAAAAATGTGATGTGTTCTGGGATAACCAAGGCAGGCTTTGCTGAGGAGGTGACCCCTGAACTCAGATCTGAAGATTGATTCAGAGTTAATGAGCCACACAGCCCCAGCCAGAAAATCAGTCTGTGCAAAGGTCCAGAAGAAACCTACAGCAAGACCAGTGCAGCCCAGCAGCCCCAGAGAGAAGCCCTACATCCGTTCGGGTGAGCTTAGCACTGACCTGATGAGACCCACAATCTGGCTAAGAAAGATGGGGCTGTGGCTGAGGGCCCACCTCGGGGTGCAGGGAACAGGCAGCTTCCAGCAGGTACTGTCGGAGCCCCGGGTCCCGCTTCTGTAGCGTCACAGCGGCAAACATAGGCAATGAGAGCAGGTAGGGCTGGCCAGGCACCGGCCAGGTCACTCCAGCGCACAGCTGCCAGCCCCAGGCGTAGGACACTGCAGGGAGAGGTAAGCGGGCAGCAACAGTCAGTGGAGACCCAGATGGCTCCGGGCGGAGGTGCCCACGGCTGCCACGTCAGCAAAGAAAGTGCTTCTGTAATTTTTTCTGAGGAACAGCATCGTGTAGACGTGGATCCTGTGAGGCAGCGGTGAGCAGGCCAGAGTTTCTCTACCTCAGCACTGCTGACTTCTGGGGACAGATCATCTCATCTGGGGGGCTGCCCTGTGTGTTATGGGATGTTTCACTGCATTCTAGGCCTCTATCCACTAGATGCCAGTAACCCCTACCAACAATCAAATATTTCTGCCGATATTACCAAATGTCCCCGGGGTCGGGGGGCGGTAAAAGTGCCCCTGGCTAAGAACCCCTGGTAGACTTTTTTTTTTTTGAGGCTGAGTCTTGCTGTTACCCAGGCTAGAGTGCAATGGCATGATGTCGGCTCACTGCAACCTCCATCTCCTGGGTTCAAGTGATTCTCCTGCCTCAGCCTCCTAAGTATCTGGGATTACAGGCGTGCAACTCCATGTCCAGCTAATTTTTGTATTTTTAGTAGAGACAGAGTTTCACCATGTTGGCCAGGCTGGTCTTGAACTCCTGACCTCAGGTGATCCGCCCGCCTCAGCATCCCAACGTGCTGGGATTACAGGCCTGAGCCACCACTCCCGGCCCCTGGTAGACTTTTTAAGAGTGACACGCAGTAATGCGTAGAACACAAGCTCTGGAGCAAGAATGCCTGGTTCAAATTCTAGCTCAGCCACTTCCTAGCTGTGTGACCTTGGACAAATTACTTAACCTCTCTGGGCCTCAATGTTTCTTCTTATTATTATTGTTATTACTCCCTTGACTCACAGTAAGGGCCACAGTGTTTCTCCTCTTAAACTGCTAATGAGAGTAGTTCCTGCCTCATGGTGTAGCTGTGAGAATTAGCAGGTCAGTATCTTCAGAACAGCACCAGGCCAACAGTAATGTCTTTGGTACTAACTCTTGCCCCAATTATAAAAACGTGCTTGCTGTCCAGACGTGGTGGCTCACGCCGGTAATCCCAGCACTATGGGAGGCTGAGGCGGATGGATCACCTGAGGTCAGGAGTTTGAGACCAGCCTGGACAAACTGGCGAAAGCCCATCTCTACAAAAAATACAAAAATTAGCTGGGTGTGGTGGTGGGCACCTGTAATCCCAGCTACTCGGAGGCTGAGGCAGGAGAATCACCGGAAACCAGAAGGCAGAGGCTGCAGTGAGCTGAGATCGCCCCATTGCACTCCAGCCTGGACAAAAGAGCAAAACTTTGTCTCAAAAAAAAAAAAAAAAATTTGTTGGTCGGACGTGGTCACTTACACCTGTAATCCCAATACTGTGGGACGAGGTAGGCAGATTACTTGAGATCAAGAATTGTAGACCAGCCTTGCCAATATAGTGAAACCCTGTCTCTACTAAAAATACAAAAATTAGCTGTGTGTGGTGGTGTGCACCTGTAATCCCAGCCACTCAGGTGGCTAACACAGGAGAATCGCTTGAACCTGGGAGGCAGAGGTTGCAGAGAGCCAAGATCGCGCCACTGCACTCCAGCCTGGATGACAAAGCAATACTCCAACTCAAAAAAAGAAAAATAAATTGCCTA